TTGTTTATTGTGAGTTTTCTGCAATAAATCAGTTAATTGTTCAATTCCCTCATCCTTCATTGAGCTACTCCTGTGGAACCTAGATATATTGTGGTACTAATAGGGCTGGTCCAAATCTAAAAGTGCTACACTATTTATAAATCTTTTAAAGACAAGATTCGCGTGATAAGAAGATTCATAAGAACTCACCCTTCAAGCCCGTCCACAAATCCATAAGTAAATCACTGCAAAGATCCAGGCAATCTAATCCGTAAACATTAGTCCACGACATATTGATACGTCGATGAATCGCGCTGTTATCATCCAAACTAGCCGCTGGTGTGCCGCAGTGTCTTCACACAAACACTGGTAAACAAACTTGGCCTCCGATCTTGATTGACGCCCCATCGAGCCAATAGCTGAAGGAGCAGGGCCCTCATCCAATGTGCTTTTAAAACTCGATATGGTTCCGCCCTCTCAACAGTTCATGAATGAACCCAGCCATAAAAGACCCGTGAATGAACTGAGACGGACATGCTTGCGAATTAAGTTAAGATTAAGAAGTTAAGATACCTAACATGTATTTAAACAAATTAAGTAAAGCCCATAACAAACATTCCATTCATACAGTTTCCACTAAGTAGTGAATTAATTTAAGCGTTTGATGTTGGGATTTGATATAATAAATAAATAAATTGACAAATTAATAATAAATGAATGAATAAATAATAATAATAATAATAAAATAAAAATAAAAACCTCTGCCAGATCTGATAGCATTTATCTTCTGAAAAGACTATTACCCAACCAGTAAGAATTCAACACAAAAGTCCAATCGTGATACGCCAATGACCCATACTTGCATATACAGTGCCATATGTAACTTATAATGGCACGCCGGCTGGAGGTGAAAATGGTAAAGAAACTAACTTCTCGCTTGACTGCATGAATAGGACATTTAAATAAATCTTCAAGAAGAACTTCTAGGACCACCAGACAAGCTACACCCCAAATCCCCAGCTCTGCATCCACCTGCTATCCTGTGGGGAAACAAATGCCTACCTCTATCATCCTCGCACACTGCGACAACGAAGCTCACAATTGTCCATGCTCTTATTAACACGCCTTGCATAGATATCAGCTAAAACTATTTTGTCATGTCTGCTATACATGTATCATGTTGTAAGATTTAATTTCTGATTTTCTCTCGTTTCTCATTCCAGAGATTAGGACAGCCGGCCCAGAAGCTGACCTTTATCCAACCTATTACACTCCACATTCATTCTAAATGCAATCACAATCTACACAAGGATGCATTTCCAATCATACAGCCCACATCCACAATGCCATATTCACACTAGTCTTTGGGTTTTGAGATTCTCTGAATTAACATCAGTTTCAATCCCACAATCCACCATATCTGATCTGACTGAAGGAACTCTATCTCTCTCCATTAAGCAAGCAAACCGATTAATTCGGCAAAGCACGTTCTATATACATTTTTGACATCCTTTCCCCCACTCACACAATTCAAATGTTTTAAAAGTGTTACTAAGTATAAGCACAACTTGAACTATCCCATACACCCATTCATTTTCACTCACCACATCTCTGACTTATTTAGGGGTTGCCTAAATTTTTCTATTACTGCATCAGGGATGCTCTAAGCAAGCTCTATACACTTACAAGTCCAATAACACTCTTCACACTGCCCTGCACTAATACAGCAGTAAATGCTTCTGCAGGAGCACACATTACCTCCATACTGACCTTCTGCAGCAGCAGAAATGCTCCACTGTGCCATACTCACCATTGCACCTGTAGCTAAGCCCTTATTCACTTCCTCTCTACATATCACTACTGACAGTATTTAATGTTCTTGCGAGAGCATCCATAACTCTCCAATACCAATCACTACTGCACTTATCCAATAGCAGAAGCACTACAACCGCAGTGACACTCTACCTGAGCCCCTACTAACTTTCATCTCCACACATCACTTCTGATATTTAATATTTTTGTGGGAGCACCCATAATGCTCCAATACTGACTACCACCGTACCTGCAACAGCAGAGATGCTCAGCCAAGCCTTATTCTCCCTCTGCACCACTGTCACAGCGCAGCTCCTTTCCTTCCCACTCCCCAACACTGCACAGCAGTTATACATTTTCGGGAAAGCGTACCCGCCTCCCGACATTGACTTCCACCACACCTCTCCAACAGCAGAGAAGCTGCCGAGCTTCTTTTCCCCTCCGCTCCACTGTCGCAGCAGTGACACTCTGCCTGAGCTCACATACACTTCCATTTAACATACCACTATTGACACTTCACAACAGTTTAAACGCCTCCATAGAAGTGTTTACTCGTTATTATCGTCTAGCTCAATTACATGTAACAGCCTCAGCATGATGCATGTATACATTTGGAGAGGATATCAATTCATCCTTACTGCTTGCACTCACGACTTCCACTATCTTGAATACAAGGACAGAAATTTAATTCTACTATCTCTTCCTTCTAGTGTTGAGTTCTTCCGCTACTCTCATCTCTTCAGCCTAAGTATCACCATTCAAGGCCTGACTCCCCCGGAGTCAATCAATTACCCCAATCCCCCACCCCCCCCACCCCCTCCAGAATCGACAACTTTCTTGTTTTCTAGCGTTGAGTTCCTCCGCATCTTTTATTCTGTGTTCTAAAGCGTTGAGTTCCTCTGCACCTCCTTTCCTTCCTTCAAGCGTCGAATGCTTCCACTCTTTCCTCCATCCCCTCCCTTTCCCATCCTCCTCAATATCTTTTACTCCCTACCCCCTTTCCAGCGTCGAGTTTCTCCGCTTGTTTTCTTTTTCAGCGTCGAGTTGCTCTGCTACTATCACTTCCTTCTAGTGTTGAGTATTCCGCTACTCTTACCTTTCCAGTCTAAGCTTAGACTCCCCCAGAGTCCTGCCCAGCCCACCTCCTATGGGAGTCGCCACCACCCCCTCCCCATTTAGATTCCTGTAGGAGCCTAATCTTTCAGCTCTAACTCCCACGGAGTTACCCCAAGAGCTACGACTCCCACGGAGTCCCCCCTCCCCTTTCTCTCTCGCCCCGGCCAAATACGCATTTTTCCTACCTTCTAGCGTTGAGTTCCTCCGCATCTCCTGTCCTATATTCCCTAGCATTGAGTTCCTCCGCTTCTCTTTCTCTTCCTTCCAGCGTTGAATGCTTCCGCTCTTTCCTCTCCCCCCTCTCACAACTTCTCTCCTCTCCCCACCCTTAACTCCCAATCCCCCTTTCAGCGTTGAGTTTCTCCGCTACTTTCTTTCTTCAGCGTTAAGTTTCTCCGCTACTTTACTATTTTCAGCGTTGAGTTCCTCCGCTACTCTTTCTATATTTCAAAAACCCCACTCACCAATCTGACTCCCAAGGAGTCTTCCCACGCTCTGACTCCCCCAGAGTCCCGCTCAGCCCACCACCTACAGGAGTCTCCACCTCTCCCTCCCTTCCCAGACTCCTGTAGTAGTCCAATCCTACAGCTCTAACTCTCACGGAGTTGACCCAGAGCTCTGATCCCCATAGGTTTCTTTTCTTTACCTTTCCAGCGTCGAGTTTCTCCACATCTCATGTTCTCTTCTTCCCAGCGTTGAGTTTCTCCGCATCCTCTTTACTCCCTTTCAGCGTCGAATGCTTCCGCTCTTCTCTCCACCCCCTCTACAACCCCTCTCCCCTTCCCACTACATTCCCCTTTCCCAGTGTTGAGTTCCTCCGCTACTTTTCTTCTTTCAGCGTTGAGTTACTCCGGTACTTTCCTATTTCTAGCACCAAATCCCTCTGCTACTCTCCTTTCGTCCGTTAGGCTCCCCAACCATGCCTCCCCGAACCCGACTCCAACGGAGTCCCCAGCCTCTCCTAAAAATCAGTTTCAACTTTTCTCCTGCAGTAACCTATCTCACTTCAATTTACATTCAGCAGCCGGATATGGCACTGACCTCTCGCCTTTTGGGGGGCACTTCAATACGCGGCTGCTGTCCCGAGCTGAAAACCTTTGCCTTTGGGGAGTTCTCGAGACCTACCTGACCTCGAATTCCCCTCTCGCCCTTCTAACAGGAGGGAGCCCCGGGCTCGAGGATATTACGAGCTTAGGGCTCTCTCCCGGGACAGTATGCCAAATACGCTTTATTGATTATCAGCTAAGTGTGAACTCTTGAAGTGTGGTTTATTCATAAACTAATTTTGAGAGGATCACGTGCTTATAATCAACACGGCTGGCTCCTTGTTAGCTCCGTAATCAGCCCTATTAGATGATTACGGAAGCATTTTAAATAACCTGAGTTTTCCACTCCAGTTATCTTTGTCTTGAAGCCCCCCCCCCCTTTCCACCCCTATATCCTCCCACTTTTTCTGATCGGGCGACACGGTGGCCCAGTGACTAGCACTGTTGCCTCACAGCAAGAACACCGCCAGTCCAACCCATCGGGCCGGTTGGTGTTTCTGTGTGGAGTTTGCATGTTCTCCCCGTGTTCGCGTGGGTTTTCCCCGGGTTCCCCGGTTTCATCCCACCATCCAAAAACATAAACCATAGCTAATCGACTAAAACAAATTATCACCCAATACAACCCGAGTTTACACTTCTCACGGTGACAAGCAGGGGAGTTCTCGAGACCTACCTGACCTCGAATTCCCCTCTCTCCCTTCTAACGGGAGGGAGCCCCGGGCTCGAGGATATTACGAGCTCAGGGCTCTCTCCCAGGACAGCATGCCAAATACGCTTTATTGATTATCAGCTTAGTGTGAACTCTTGAATTGTAACTTTAGGTGGTTTCTGAAACAAAATGTGTCAGTGTTATTTTCATTCTCTCGTCTTCAGCGCTATACATTTTATCTGATACAATGATTGAATTACCTTCCCAATACAAAAGGAACTGACAAAATAGAATCTAATTTACCTGTAGTGTGTCAGTTCAACACACGATAAACTGCATGCAAATGGGAGTGAGATGATTAGTGAAGCAAGTGATTTATTTCATAAAAACTTTCTTACATTCTTCCTGGAGGTTCCTGCTTTCTGTTGTGTGGTGTTAGAGGGTTGACTGATGCCATTGCTGCTGTGCTAAAAGGAAACAATGAGTGAATAAGTAAATATTTTTATAAGAGTCACAGTTTATTATTTAAATAACAATTCAGAGGTTCATGATCATAATTGTTTTTTTAAAGGAGTTGTGGCATAAGAGATCTAAGTTTCCTTAGTTACTTGAAATATAAGTTGTTAGTTTGCATCTGTGATTTTTTTGTGGAATAAAACCAAAGGAAAAAAAAAAAACTTTGTGTCACATGTTATAGATTTTAGGAATAATAACAATAAGAATGTAGTTCTGATTTTAAACATGGTTTATTTATAATTATAGTGCCTATTTGAAAATAAGTTATAAACCTCTTTTACCCTGCAGAGAACCACTTTATCATTCTTTTGTGGAGTATTTGTCACCGAATTATTGACACATTCTTATTAAATGACAATTTATTTACATTATGGGATGTTTTTTTACAAGTTGTTTACATTTTAATACTTTTTATTTAACGAAAACAAATGTTAAACACATACTGTTTGCTATATGGAATTCAAAAACTTTAAAGCTCAATATTTCAAAATCATTCAGAACACAGAGAGAACCTTATAATTCTAATGTGACGAACATCAAAAAACTGGTTCAACAAACTGAGGTAGACTAAACACGTTTATCTCTAGATGAGTGTAGTCTAGGGATTTTTATGCTACGACAGTACGTTGGGTAAGGATGCCACTCTCAAGGGGGAATGGCGCTTAAGCCACTATCTTCCCTACCGGGGAGACCTTTGACAATTTGGAATAGCCCAACACAATCTCACGGCAATTCTGAACTTTTTCATTTAGTGGCTCATTCGTATGAATTTTTGTACGATCTTATTAGTTCAACTTAGTACGATTTGCTCATGACCCAATGATGGTTGGGGTTAGCGGTGCGGTTGAGTGAGCCCTAACTTAGGGGGTGCACTACATAAACAAGAAGATGCCCTCAATGAGGAGCAGGCAGAGCGGATAAGGCCAGTGGTTGATGATATGATCTATTGCACTAGTCTGCTTTTTCACTGCCTGGGTGCAATGTCCCTGACAGAGTCGCTAAATATGCTTGCCTGGGATATGGGGATTTCAGGAAAGTGAGCTGTTAAGACCATGAGTATGGCCATCGCTCTTTCCAGAGCACCAGTGGCTGACTTGGTGGTCACGAGAGCATATTCAGTCACTGTTGCTTTTATTTCTTTTTGTCATTTAATTTTTATTTGCTGATTATTTTATTAATTTGATGATGCCTGTTGTGTTCACTTGTAATTCAGCACTGTGACTTTTATGTTGAAATAAGAAAACTTTAATGTAAAGGTTTTATAAAAAGGAATTGAGGCAAGTAGTAAGTGAAGTAAACAGAATGTTGAATGCCACGATTCATGTCTCGTCTGATTTATTGCTGTACAAATATCACAAATTGGCGATGAAGATTACGTTTAGTTTTCGCTATATGAGTCACCAAGATGGCTGTTAACAAAGATGCAGATTGTGCACAGCATATTTTGTGCCAAAAACCAACATAGTAGTGGAACATCATGCCTTCCGTAGATGTTGCCAGATGCCTCATGAGACTGCTACACGATACAGAGCTTTGCGAGAACTCGTAGTGTCGTGTGATTTCGGTGCCTGTGCTGATGAAATGATACAAGACCAGTTGGTGAAAAATGCGCTTAGCCCACGCATGCGCGAGAGGCTTCTTAATAAAACTTATCTTACATTGGACAAAGCTGTCACAATAGAGAGTCAGATTGAATCTGCAGCCTGTAACAAGGTCCTGTTTTTGCTGTGGCTCAGAGACCCACTTAGCTAATGCTGCAATCTGTCCTGCTGCAGCTGCAACATGCAGAAAGTGCAAAAAGACTGGACATTATGCTAAAGTGTGCCGATCCATTTAGACAAATACATGGGAGTTTAAAAAAATTGAAATACCAGAAGTTACAGTCCTGTACACAGAAAATTCAGATCATTCACCAAATTTTATGAGTAAAGTAACTATATCCATTTCTGCTGTTCATACCTGTGTGGTGAACTTGGTAGTTGACACCGGGTCTTCTGTGTCCATCTTACCCCACAGCACTTATGCACGCCATTTCAATCATGTGCCACTGTCACAGCCAACAGCTAAGCTCGTGACTTACTCAAAAGCTCACATTCCAGTCATTGGGTGCTTTTCAGCAAATGTTTCATTACAAGAACATACAGTTCAGTTATTTTTTACATTGAGGAAAAAGCCACACTGATGTGTAAGGAGCTCATGTTTGCACTGCATGTGAGGATGGAGAATTATCAAGCGCTGTCTTTTGATGCAATTCCTGACATTACACCTCCAGTGCCAGTGTTTCAATGCACTGTTGTGGATTTAAAATATTTTGGATGTGCTAGGAACTTGGCTGCTCATGATAAAACCCTGCAAGCAGTCTTACAACGCCTTGAGGCTGCTGGTCTGCAACTAAATAAAGACAAATGTTGTTTCCGACAAACCAGCCTACTGTTTCTAGGGCATACAGTGTCGGATGAGGCCTTCGTCCTGATGAGTCACGAGTGCAATACTCAATGCACCTGCACCCTCAGATGCTGTTATTTTGCACAAGCTCCAAGCTCCACAAGCTCCACGGGATTCAGCTGGTCAGATGACGCTGAACTAAGTTTGACCAAGGTTAAGCAGCTGCTGGCAAACAGCCCTTCCTTGGTATTATTTGACCCCAGTTTGCACACCATTTTCTCCACAGATGCTTCTGATTACGGTCTGGGTGCTATTCTGTCCCAGGTCAGTTCAGATGGGATTGAACATACTGTAGTTTTCGCATTGTGCACCCTGTCTGCTGCTGAGTGAAAATACGCTACTGTTAAAAAGGAAGCTCTAGCATGTGTGTGGGCCATTGAGAAGTGGCGTACCTATCTATGGGGTCGTCACTTTATGGACAGACAAATGCTGTGCTGTCTTGCCATGTATGCCAACTCAATGACAAAACTGTGAAGTCACAGCCTGAACCTCTTCAGCCTGTACCGCTACCAGATGGACCATGGCAGAAGGTAGCTGTGGATATAGTCGGGCCATTTGAAACCGCTGCACCTGACTGCAGATTTGCTATTACATTGACTGATTATTACAGCAAATGAGCTGAAGTATCGTTCACTTACACCATCACTACAGATGCAGTGATTTCGTTTCTGTCATCCATATTCAGTTGCCATGGCAATCTATTGAGCATAGTTACTGGTAATGGTGTTCAGTTTGTGTCTGCTTCCTTTGCTGCTTTTCTGGAACAACGGAATATATGCCACTGCCGTTCTTGTCTCTACTACCCTGCAGCTAATGGTGCTGTAGAGAGGTTCAACCGCTTTCTCAAACACACCATACAAATAGCCATTCAACAGCATCAACCATTAGTGGTGTAACAATTTATCGTTGTACGATTTATTGCGATGCAAAAATGTCACAATATGCATCGTGGCGTTATGACGATTTGATTACGATATGACGTCCGTTTTCTCTTATTAGTTGAGCTGTTTGCACGTGAGCTACGTTCCACCTGCTGTCGCAAGTGAGTTCAGATTGCAGCAGCAGTAATGTTAGCAGACCAAGATGAGTGGAGTTGAAATACAGGATCAGAATCAGACGTCTGGCAACATTTCGGTTGTACAGTCATTGCTTTAGACTCGTCTGCTTTTTGACACGCATACTGGGTCAAACATCCTAAGTTTTAAAGTCTTCACAGTGATTTACATACTTTGCACAGCGACATGGATACCTTTTAATGCTGTTAAAAGAGTCATATACAGTATTTATAAGGTAAAATTCACCCTTAAATATCATTCTGTCTTCATATAATGATGTATTTGCGGCCGCAAAATTACACATGACGTGAGCTGACCGTGAGCTGTTACTACAGAGGGCGGACTATGATAGACGCGCGTGTATGGCAAGCCGTTTTAGCATTAAAACCTTTGTTCTGACTATCCATAATTATATTTAGAGATATCTCTAATTATATTTTGACTAGTCATAATTATAATTCGACTAGTCAGAATGACAATTAGAGATATCTGCAATTACAATTGTACTAGTACGAAATCATATTGGAGATATCTGCAAATATATTATGACTAGTCATATTCCTCCATTGACTTCCATTGAAAAATATTTGCAGATATCTCTAAATGAGTTTTGATTAGTCACAATTGTAATTAGAGATATCTCTAAATGAATTTAATTAAATATGAATTAAATATATTTATGGATAGTCAGAACAAAGGTTTAAATGCTAAAACGGCTTGCCATATGTGCGCGTCTGCTTCAGTGAACAGAACCTGCAGGTTTTGACCAAGCGGCAACCTCCCGCTCTCCCTCAGGAAGCCAATACGGAAGTAACTAAAACTGCAATTCATCCAAAATCCCGCTAGTCCTGGCCTCTCCTGGCTCCAAATTCAAATTTCAATTGAGCCCACTGTTAGAATGGCCAACTTTACAGCAGAAAAAAAGGTGTTTACAGCCTGGTACAAAAAAAGATTTTGGTTAATACAGCTACTATTACCCTTCATGACAACTGTGAGGGGGGTGAATTTTTTTTATAACTCATCCGTTTCCTTTATATTAAGTTATATTAAGTTTGCATAATTAAGGGAGTGGCCACTTGAGTGACAGCTAGATCTCGCTGGTCGCTGTCACGTCACCTCAGCTGAATCCTGCAGTTTAGCCACTGAACTCGGCATATTTATCGTATTTCTGTGTTGTTTTATGTGGCTTTATACAGTCAACTGCCTTTTGGACTTGTTTCCCACAATTATTAGATGGCATGGCATGCTGAGGGCACTTAATTGTGCTCACAAACCATTCACGTGGCCTCCGTTTCCCATGTGAGTAAAGTTATATACTTATATACCATCTCTATACATGTATTTGTTGTATTTAAGATCATTTATCGTTTATATTTATATTTAGAGCTGTAATGCACTCCAGAATCTGTCAGATTGATTAGCTGTAGGCTCTAGAACAGTCATCTGAAGCG